ACAATGTTTCATGCAAAATATCTAACCTCTAGCATTTGTCAATTACTAGAAGAATTTTTTTTAAAGTTTTTACTATATACATATAAGGAAAACCAATGACCCTTGGGGCGGGGCCGATTTTGACCCCAGGGCTATAATTTGAACAATCTGGGTAGAGGTCTACCAGACAATGCCTTATGCAAAATATCTAAGCTCTAGGCCTTTTGGGTCTTTACAAGAAGGTATATTAAGTTTTTACTATATGTACATATAGTGAAAATCAATGACCCCCGGGGCGGGGCCAATTTTGACCCCAGGGTTATAATTTGAACAATCTTGTTAGAGGTCTACCAGACAATGCCTTATGCAAAATATCTAAGACCTTTTGAGTCTTTACAAGAAGATTTTTTAAATTTATTCTTATAATTCCTTTTGGTTATACATGGCAACCAGATTTCTGCATGGAATGAAATTCTTTGAACAACTTTGGAAGCCCTTCACCCAAGGATCAATCCTGCCAAGTTTGGTTGAAATTGGACTAGTGGTTTTTCACAAGAAGTTTTTAAGTTCACTGTATAATCTATATAACACACACACAAACACACACACAGGTGAATCGCTATATGCCACCGCATAACAGATGCTGCGGTGGCATAAAAATCAATAGGGGTTATCTACTGGTCATGACTAGTCACTAGGTGATAGTGACCGTAAAGGTTGTATCAGAAATTTTATGATAAGTTATCACAAATCTTACCGAATAATATATGCATAAATTTCATGAATTATGTAGGCCTCCTTAATGACAGCCAAATTGTTATTTTACATTAGACCTTGAAATGTGTATACAAAATGCATTTTTAGTTTAACAAGAGCCAAGTCAACATGGCCATCCCCCGCCAAATGTGTTTGCTCATTGGAAGAATGTATATGTAGTAGAGCAGAATAATTCCATTTTAAGAGGTCTTTAGGTAATGAAAACTGATGGCTATAGTGATTACAAATTTGAAACCTATGTGAATACTGATGGCTGAAAATAACAAAGGGCAATAACTGAAAAATAATAGAGGGTAGGTTATCATTCTTGTGTGCTGCATCCCTCCTCAGTAAAATCTATCCACCTATGAAGTTTCAAGTTGAGACCTCAAATACTTTTTGAGAAAAAAATTGAATTGAAAAATTAAGTATGAAAAATAACAAAGGGCAATAACTCAAAAATTATAAAAGGTAGAGTTATCATTCTTGTGCACTGCACACCTCCTGAGTTAGATCTATGCACCTATGAAGTTTCATAATGATATCTCAAAGGCCTTTTGAGTTATGCTCTGGACAATTAATTTTGAAAAATAAACAAGAGCTGTCCGTAAGACAGCGCGCTCGACTTTTTTATTGCTTGCCAATAAAAAAAGTTTTTGCAGTAAAAGGCAATACAAGAATCTCTGTATTTTTAAAGTGAACAATGGCCATGAGCATTAAGATATTTAGTGAAGAATTATTTTATTATGACATAATTTATGGTAAAGTGAACAAGTGGATAGGAATGAATTTTTTTAGATTTTTTAAGTTTTTTAGTGCTTGCCTATAATACAAAACATTGACAGTTAAGGGCCATAATTCAAATAAAATCTTTGACAGAATTACCTTCTCCTGGACATGTTTGGGAATCATGATTGTAAACAAGTATTCCAACTTTCAAATTAATATCTCAAACAGTTCAGTCAAAAAGTGGACTGGTACTAAAAACTTAACCAAGATTCTAAGTCGATAAAAGGCCTTAATTTTTAAAACAAATCCTTGACAGAGTTACCTTCTCTTGCGTACAGATGGGGGTAATGATGTGAAATAGCATTAAAAGTTTCAAAGCAATTTCTCAAAGGGTTAAGGCAATAAGTGGATTTTACCCATATTCAATGTATTTTCTAAGTCAAAAAGGGGCATAATTCTGTCAAAAACCTTGACAGAGTTATGTCCTCTTGTCTGTTGATGAAGGTCGTGATGGTAAACAAGTATGGTCAGTTTCAAAGCAATACCTCCAATGGTTTTGAAATAAAGTGAGGTGGTACAAAAAACTTAACCAAGCTCAATACACTTTCTAAGTCAAAAAAGGGCCATAATTCTGTCAAAAACCTTGACAGAGTTATGTACTCTTGTCTGTAGATGGAGGTTATGATGGTGAACAAGTATGGTAAGTTTCAAAGCCATACTTGTAATACTTCTGAAATAAAGTGGGGTGGTACGAAAAACTTAACCAAGGTGTGACGCCGACGCCGACGCCGACGCCGGGGCGAGTAGGATAGCTCCCCTTTTCATAGAAAAGTCGAGCTAAAAAAGGGCAATAACTAAACAATTATGCAGGGTAGAGTTATCATTCTCATGCACTGCACTCTTCCTCAATGAGATCCATCCACCTATGAAGTTTCAAGTTGATACCTCAAATACTTTTTGAGATAAGCTCTGGACAAAATAGTATGAAAAAGAACAAAGGGCAATAACTCAAAAATTGTACAGGGAAGAGTTATCATTCTTATGCACAGCATTCCTCCTCAATAAAATCTATCCACCTATGACATTTCATGTTGACATCTCAAACACTTTTGAGTTATGCTCCACTCCGGTGAAAAATTAGGTATGAAAAATAACAAAGGGCAATAACTCTAAAATTATGAAAGGTGGAGTTATCATTCTTGTGCACTGCACACCTCCTGAGTTAGATCTATGCACCTATGAAGTTTCATAATGATATCTCAAAGGCCTTTTGAGTTATGCTCTGGACAAAAATTAATTTTGAAAAATAACAAAGGGCAATAACTCAAAAATTATGCAGGGTAGAGTTATCATTCTTGTGCACTGCGCTCCTCCTCAATGAGATCCATCCACCTATGAAGTTTCAAGTTGATACCTCAAATACTTTTTGAGATAAGCTCCGGACAAAATAGCATGAAAAAGAACAAAGGGCAATAACTCAAAAATTGTATAGGGAAGAGTTATCATTCTTGTGCACTACATTACTCCTCAATAAGATCTATCCACCTATGACATTTCATGTTGATATGTCAAACACTTTTTGAGTTATGCTCCAGTCAGGTGAAAAATTAAGTATGAAAAATAACAAAGGGCAATAACTCAAAAACTATCGAAAGGTAGAGTTATCATTCTTAAGCACTGCACACCTCCTGAGTGAGATCTATGCACCTATGAAGTTTCATGTTGATATCTCATAGGCTTTTGGAGTTATGCTCTGGACAAAAATCAATTTCGAAAAATAACAAAGGGCAATAACTCAAAAATTATGCAGGGTAGAGTTATCATTCTTGTGCACTGCACTCCTCCTCAATGAGGTCTATCCACCTATGAAGTTTCAAGTTGATTACTCAAATACTTTTAGAGATATGCTCCGGACAAAAATGTCGGACGGAAGGAGACTATTTCTATATCCCCGCCGCCTTTTCGGCGGGGGATAACAAGGCAGTCTGAAGGACGGCTAAATCCTCTTCCGCAGCAGACATGAATGTGTACAGTACTTCTTGACCTTAAACAGACCATGACCTTGATTTTGTGCCATGTATATCATAAGCACATAGTCTCATGACAGTAATTATTTGTGCCAAGTTTTTAAAATCTTCCATAAAGTCAAAACGTTATGGAGAACATTTAAGCTTGACCTTGGGGGTAGCAACCTGGATGTTGGGTTCTGCACATCATTTCATAATGGTGATCATTTCTGCCAAGTTATTTCAACATTTTTTCAGCAGTTTAAAGATCCTGTGTTTTTTATGGTTTTATATCATAAATATAATGCTCAAATGAAGATTTATTAATACTGTAAGTTCCAAAAAGCATTATTTGTAAAGATATTACCAAATTTACATTTTCATGTTAATAAAGGGAGGTAAATTTATTTTCCATAAAGTCTAAGTCAAATTTTTCAGTAAGAAATGAATGCATATATTTTAATGATTACAATATAATGTGGAAAAATATTTGCAGTACATATTTTACATATTCCTCAATGTTTGAAAATTGATTTAGAAGCATAATTATATACACATATAAAATTTCACTTAAATATGGTAACAACTTTAATCACAACATACAGGATATTAAAAAGTTATGGAGCAGACAATTGTAATCACAAGCACAGATGGACGGACGTACAGATGGACTGACAGACAGAGGCAATTCAACAATATCAACAAGGCAACTTTAGTAGTTGTGTTATTGGTCGGAAACCTTTTTGACGTATAAGGTCAATGTAACTTTGACATTTGACCCTTAAATCAATAGCGGTTATCTACTGGCCAAGACCAATGCACCTGTGAAGTTTGAAGGTTAAGGACCCATGAGTTGTTGAGATATTGATCAGAAACTGTTTTTACCAATTAGGTCAATGTGACCTTGACCTCTGACCCCTTGACCTCCCAAAAAATCCATTGAGGTCATCTTCTGACCAAAAGCAATACATTTGTGAGGTTTGAAGTTCAATGGTCCATGGGTTGTTATTGATAGGAAACTGTTTTGACAAACAAGGTCAATGTGACCTTAACCTTTGCCCTAAAATCAATAGGGGTTATCTACTGGCCTAGACCAATGCACCTATGCATTTGAAGGTCAAGGGCCTATGGGTTGTCAGGTTATTAATGGAAAATCTTTTTTACCTTTAAGGTCAATGTGACCTTGACCCCTTGAGCCCAAAATCATTAGGGGGTCATCTACTAGCCAAGACCAATGCATCTACAATGCAATGTTTCAGGGCTAACAGCCCATGGGTTGTCAAGTTATTGATTGAAAACCGTTTTTAAATACAAGGTCAATGTGACGTTGACCTTTGACCCCAAAATCGATAGGAGCTACTGGTCATGAACAATCCCCATACCAAGTTTGAAGTTCCTAGCCCTAAACGTTCTTTAGTTATAGATCTGAAACCATTTGGTCTACGAACCGACTGACCGACCGACCGAACGAAAGACAAATGCAAAGCAATATACCCCAACTTCTTTGAAGAGGGGCATAATAATACTTACTATTAGAGGCTGACATAAGAGCTTGTATTGGTCTGAAGAACATCATTCCAACCATCATGATGGGGAATATAGAGATTGTGTTACCTGCCATCCACATAATGAAAAAGTTCATTGGAATTTGTTTAAGAGGGCCAAGAGCAACATCCCAAGATTTCTGGAAAATAAAGCATTGCAATACTGAATACAACAGCATTTTTTTTACTTAAATGAGAAATAAGATGTTTTGCAGATCTAATGTTAGAAAGATTAAAAATTCTATAACTGGCGGAATACAAGTCTATTACTGTTTGAAATAAATTCCATTATCTGAACAATCATGCTATTTTCATAAAATTGTAGTCTTTTTTTTTCACATAAAGGCCAATGAATATTATGTTTTCATATAACATGTGTTGCCTGATGCTGAGGAGAAAATGGACTGTTTGATCCCTGCATGTCGCAGCTACTTTGTAGTATGTTGCAGCTTCAGGAAAGCACAGGACACACATAACAGGCGAAAAAACACCATTTTTATTCAATTGTCCTGTTGCTTTGCCAATTATTGATATACAAGTAGAAATGTTTTCATGCCCCAGCAGAATATTTGTTTAGCTGATCAAATATGACTTTGAGCTTATTCTATGACAGGTCAAATAAGCACAATTGAGAATTTTCAAATGAACTCCCTATATTGTTTTTTTTTACTGTTCACAAAGTTGATTCACAAAATGTCATAGTTTTACAGTCTTTGGAGGCTTGAAATCAAGCTAATATGCCATATTAATTAGTTTTCTAATTTAAATAAAGTCTTTAGATTTAACCTGTTGAAAAAGCTAATCTTCAAATTATTATAGCACACTATCAATTGGAAAACAGGTAACAGTCGTTTTTCATGAATACGGTATTGTAACAGAGTTGGACTTTTACTATGTCTGATATCATATGAATAATGGCTAACAGCAAGGATTTAAAAATGTAAAAAATAAAAAAAAAAATAATGGCAGCTTATTTTTTTTTAACGAAGTTTAAAAACATTTGTTAAAATTTTGCCACTGGGAATATAAAATATTATTAGTCAAGTGTAGTTTTTATATACATGTAATTGCAGATTATATATAGAAGGGTTTTTGTCACAAAAACGTTTGTCTCCAAAAACTATGTATGGTCACTCATGTAAAGTTTCATTAAAATCCCACCAGTAGCTTGACCTGTGAAAGCTGGACAATAGTTTTCTATTTTTAGCTCTGGCAGCCATTTTGTGCAGCAAAGCGGAACGTGCCGATGATGTGCATAGCTAGGAATGGTACTGAAAACTCCTGTAAAGTTTGGTTTAAATCCCAATGATCAGTAGTTTGACCTGTGAAGGCCGAAAAAGATTTTTCTTTTTTTAGCTCTGGCAGCCATTTTGTGCAGTGAGGCAAAACATGCTGTTGATGTGCACAGCTAGGGGTGGTACTGATCACTCCTGAACAGTTTGGTTGAAATCCCCTCAGTAGTTTGACCTGTGAAGGTCGAACAAGATTTTTCTATTTTTTAGCTCTCAGGCAGCCATTTTGTGCAGCAAAGCAGAACTTGCCGGTGATGTGCATGACTAGGGATGGTACTGATCACTCCTGTAAGTTTTGGTTTAAATCCCACGACCTGTGAAGGCCGGACAAGATTTTTCTATTTTTAGCTCTTGCGGCCATTTTGTGCAGCGAAGTGGAACTTGCCGTTGATGTGCACAACTAGGGATGGTACTGATCACTTCTGTAAGGTTTGGTTTAAATCCCACCAGTAGTTTGACCTGTGAAGGCCGGACAAGATTTTTCTATTTTTAGCTCTTGCGGCCATTTTGTGCAGCGAAGTGGAACTTGCCGGTGATGTGCACAACTAGGGATGGTACTGATCACTCCTGTAAAGTTTGGTTGAAATCCCACCAGTAGTTTGACCTGTGAAGGGCTGACAAGCTTAATGCGGATGGATGGACAAGACAGATGGTGAAGGCAAAAACAATGTCTGGAGACACAACAATAAATGTTTTTCTGTAAAAATTATCAGTTAGTAATCTTATGATTTTCCATTACAATTACCACAGTTTAAATGACTGAATCAAAAGGCTTTATATTTTAATTCATTTCAAATAAAAAACTCTGATATACTCTGTCTGTAAGAAACACACTTTATAAAAAAAAATTGAAAAGAAAATTTATTCTGAATGAAATGGTTTTTAAATGTTTTGCAAAGGGTGTGGCTATTTTAAGTAGAAAAGACTTAAAAGATATTAGAATAAATTTTGTTAAAACTGATGACTGGAAGTTTTATAATGTTAAGCATTATATTGAAATTGATAAAACATTACATACATTAACTAGAACTATCACTAAATGTGATTAATACCCCCACAAGACTGCTTCGGAAATGAGGATGTTACTAGTAACAGAATACCTTGTAAAAGAATTGAAATATAGAGTTATGGTTGTGGGTAGTTAAAGATAGTTGTGGTTCTTATATGTTGCATTTCCTTTCAATGTGGTTGGCCATTGATGAAGTTTAATTGAATTACTCTGTAATAAGTCCAGAAAGACAAAGAAAAGGTACAAAGGGCAATAACTCTATAAATACTGAAGATAGAGTTATAGTTCTTGTGCACTGCACTTCCTCTTATTGTGCTTGACCATTGCATGAAGTTGTTTTGAATTCCAGCCAGTACGTTTTAAGTTATGCTCCTGACAAGGAAAAGTATCAAAGGGCAGTAACTCTGTATTTTGTCAAAATAAAGTTATGGCTCTTGTGCACTGCACTTCCTTTTAATGTCCTTGACAACTGTATGAAGTTGTATTGAATTCCAAACAGTAGTTTTCAAGTTATGCTCTGGACAAGGAAAAGTAACAAAGGGCAATAACTCTGTATATAGTCAAGATGGAGTTATGGTTCTTGTGCACTGCACTTTCTCTCAATGTGCATGACCATTGTATGAAGTTATATTGAATTCCAACCATTAGTCTTCAAGTTATGGTCCGGACAAAAAAAGCAATGGAAAAGTAACAAAGGGCAATAACTCTGTAATAACTTTAGATAGAGTTATGGTTCTTGTGCACTGCACTTCCCCTTATTGTGTTTGACAATTGTATGAAGTTGTTTTGAATTCCAACCAGTTGTTTTCAAGTTATGCCCCGGACAAGGAAAAGTAACAAAGGGCAATAACTTTGTAATTAGTCAAGATGGAGTTATGGTTCTTATGCACTGCACTTCCTCTCAATGTGCTTGACCATTTTATGAAGTTATATTGAATTCAAACTATTAGTCTTCAAGTTATGGTCCGGACAAAAAAAAAGCAATGGAAAAGCAACAAAGGGCAATAACTCTGTAATTACTTTAGGTAGAGTTATGGTTCTTGTGCACTGCACTTCCCCTTATTGTGTTTGATAATTGTATGAAGATGTTTTGAATTCCAACAGTAGTTTTCAAGTTATGCCCCGGACAAGGAAAAGTAAACAAGAGCTGTCCGTAAGACAGCGCGCTCGACTTTTTTATTGCTTGCCAATAAAAAAAGTTTTTGCAGTAAAAGGCAATACAAGAATCTCTGTATTTTTAAAGTGAACAATGGCCATGAGCATTAAGATATTTAGTGAAGAATTATTTTACTGAATTGTGTGATACCCTTGAACACTGCAGCAAAGTTTGAAATGTTTAAGTCAAAAGAGGGCTGGTAAGAAAGAAAAAAAAACTAGTTGTTTGATACCCTTGAATATTACAGCAATGTTTATATGACATAATTTATGGTAAAGTGAACAAGTGGATAGGAATGAATTTTTTTTAGATTTTTTTAAGTTTTTTAGTGCTTGCCTATAATACAAAACATTGACAGTTAAGGGCCATAATTCAAATAAAATCTTTGACAGAATTACCTTCTCCTGGACATGTTTGGGAATCATGATTGTAAACAAGTATTCCAACTTTCAAATTAATATCTCAAACAGTTCAGTCAAAAAGTGGACTGGTACTAAAAACTTAACCAAGATTCTAAGTCGATAAAAGGCCTTAATTTTTAAAACAAATCCTTGACAGAGTTACCTTCTCTTGCGTACAGATGGGGGTAATGATGTGAAATAGCATTAAAAGTTTCAAAGCAATATCTCAAAGGGTTAAGGCAATAAGTGGATTTTACCCATATTCAATGTATTTTCTAAGTCAAAAAGGGGCATAATTCTGTCAAAAACCTTGACAGAGTTATGTCCTCTTGTCTGTTGATGAAGGTCGTGATGGTAAACAAGTATGGTCAGTTTCAAAGCAATACCTCCAATGGTTTTGAAATAAAGTGAGGTGGTACAAAAAACTTAACCAAGCTCAATACACTTTCTAAGTCAAAAAAGGGCCATAATTCTGTCAAAAACCTTGACAGAGTTATGTACTCTTGTCTGTAGATGGAGGTTATGATGGTGAACAAGTATGGTAAGTTTCAAAGCCATACTTGTAATACTTCTGAAATAAAGTGGGGTGGTACGAAAAACTTAACCAAGGTGTGACGCCGACGCCGACGCCGGGGCGAGTAGGATAGCTCCCCTTTTCATAGAAAAGTCGAGCTAAAAAGGGCAATAACTCTGTAATTAGTCAAGATAGAGTTATGGTTCTTGTGCACTGCACTTCCTCTCAATGTGCTTGACCATTGTATGTAGTTATATTGAATTCCAACCATTAGTCTTCAAGTTATGCTCCGGACAAGGAAAATGCAACGGACGTCTGGACCGACCTACCGACCAACTGATCGACCGACAACCGGGTGACTCCTATATACCCCCCCAAACTTCGTTTTTGGGGGAATAAAAACATATGGGCAAAATACAGATAGTCCTAGTTTCTTAACCCTTTACCTCATGAGCATATTGTGAAAAATGGCCGTTTTCATTGAAAAGCCTCCTGTTACAAGTTCAAACTGCTATGAAACTATGAACAAGAGCACCACTAGGCGAAGCATTATATGCCCGAAAGTGTTGGGTTTTTTTTGTTAGTAAGGATGAAACATTTGTAAGACATGGGAATTAAATACAGTATTACCTCCTTCAAAAAGCATTCTTCCTTTATAGCTGAAGAACCTTCATTTATATATATACAGTTGCTGCTTTCAAAGCACCACCATCAAGTTGTAATTATGCTCCAGAAACCACAACTTTCAGTGTAAAGATCATTGTGACCCTGACCTTTGACGTTATGACCCTAAAATCAATAGGGGTCATGTATTGGACATGGCTGTTCATCCTATAAAATTTTACAGCTGTAGGTTATTGAGCTGAAACTGTTTTCAGTTTTAAGGTAATAGTGACCTTGACCTTTGACCCCAAAATCAATAGGGGTCTTCTACCCAATATGGACAATCATCCGATGAAGTTTGAATACTGTGGGCCAAATGGAACTTAAGTTATGCTCTGGAAACCATTTTCAGTTTCAAGGTAATAGTGACCATGACCTTGTGACCACAAAATCAATAGGGGTTAATTTTGAATTTTCAATTTTGAACCCAGGGCTAGTATTTGAACAAGAGGGCCATGATGGCCCTGAAGTCGCTCACCTGTATATAGGCCCCCGGAGCGCGGCCAGTTTAAACCCCAGGGCTTTTATTTGAACAAACTTGGTAGACACCCATTAGAAGATGTTTCATGCTAAACATCTAAGGTCTAGCTGGTCAAGTTTTTTCTTTACACATATAGTTAAAAACAATGACACACCTGGGGCGGGGCCAGTTTTGACCCAAGGGCTTTTATTTGAACAATATTAATTTTGTAGACACTTACTAGAAAATGTTTCATGCTTAATATCTAAACTCTAGCTATTCAGGTTTTTTCAAAGAAGATTTTTAAGTTTTTGCTATACACATATAAGGAAAATCAATGTCACCGGGGCGGGGCCAATTTTGACCCCAGGGCTTTTATTTGAACAAACTTTGTAGACACTCACTAGAAGATGCTTCGTGCTTAATATCTAAACTCTAGCTATTTGAGTTTTTTCAAAGAAGATTTTTTAAGTTTTTGTTATACACATATAAGGAAAATGAATGACCCCCGGAGCGGGGCCAATTTTGACCCTAGGGCTTTTATTACAACAAACTTGGTAGACACTCACTAGAAGATGTTTCAAGCTTAGTATCTAAACTCTAGCTATTTGTTTTTTTCAAAGAAGATTTTTTAAGTTTTTGTTATACACATACAAGAAAAATCAATGACCCCCTGGGGGCAGGGCCAATTTTTACCCCAGGGTTCTTATTTGAACAAACTTGGTAGACATCCATTAGAACATGTTTCATGCTAAATATCTTAGCTCTAGCTCTTTGGGTTCTTTAAAAGAAGATATTTTAAGTTTTTACTATATGCATATAGGGAAAATCAATGACCCCCTGGGGCGGGGCCAATTTTGACCCCAGGGCTTTTATTTGAACAAACTTGGTAGACACCCATAAGAGGATGTTTCATGCTAAATATCTTAGCTCTAGGTCTTTGGGTTCTATAAAGAAGATTTTTTAACTTTTTACTATATGCATATAGGGAAAACCAAGGACCCCCCGGGAGGGGCCAATTTTGACCCCAGGGCTTTTATTTGAACAAACTTGGTAGACACCCATTAGAGGATGTTCTTTTTCATGCTAAATATCTTAGCTCTAGGTCTTTGGGTTCTATAAAAGAAGATTTTTTAAGTTTTTACTATATGCATATAGGGAAAACCAATGACCCCCGGGCGGGGCCAATTTTGACCTCAGGGCTTTTATTTGAACAAACTTGGTAGAAACTAATTAGAGGATGTTTCATGCTAAATATCTAAGCTCTAGGTCTTTGGGTTCTTTACAAAAAGATTTTTAAGTTTTTGCTATACACATATAAGGAAAATCAATGACCCCCGGGGCGGGGCAAATTTTGACCCCAGGGCTCTTATTTGAACAAACTTGGTAGACATCCATTAGAACATGTTTCATGCTAAATATCTTAGCTCTAGCTTTTTGGGTTCTTTAAAAGAAGATTTTTTAAGTTTTTACTATATGCATATAGGGAAAATCAATGACCCCCTGGGGCGGGGCCAATTTTGACCCCAGGGCTTTTATTTGAACAAACTTGGTAGACACCCATTAGAGGATGTTTCATGCTAAATATCTTAGCTATAGGTCTTTGGGTTCTTTTAAAGAAGATTTTTTAAGGTTTTACTATATGCATATAGGGAAAATCAATGACCCCCTGGGACGGGGCCAATTTTGACCCCAGGGCTTTTATTTGAACAAACTTGGTAGACACTTACTAGAAGATGTTTCATGCCAAATATCTAAGCTCCAGCTCTTTGGATTTTTTAGAAGATGATATTTAAAGTTTTTTCTTTTGGTTGCCATGGCAACCAGAGTTCTGCATGGAATTAAATTCTTTGAACAATTTTCAAAGGTGACCACCAAAGGAACATTCATGTGAAGTTTGGATGAAATTGGCTCAGTGGTTTATGAGGAGATGTCATTTAAAGTAAAAGTTTACGGACAACGGACAGACGGACGCCGGACGAAAAGCGATCACAAAAGCTCACCCTGTCACTTTGTGACAGGTGAGCTAACAATCTTCATATAAGTCTACCAGACACTGCCTTATACAAATATCTATGCTCTAGGCCTTGTAGGTCTTTACAAGAAGATTTTTTAAATTTATTTATATAATTCCTTTTTGTTGCCATAGCCACCAGATTTCTGCATGGAATGAAATTCTTTGAACAACTTTGGAACTTGGAAGCCCTTCACCCAAGGATCAATCCTGCCAAGTTTGGTTGAAATTGGACTAGTGATTTTTCACAAGAAGATTTTTTAAGTTCACTATATAATCTATATAACATACATAAATACAATACATACATACATGCAATACATACATACATATGCACACACGAACACACGCACACACACACATGTGAATCACAATATGCCACCACATCGCAGATTCTGTGGTGGCATAAAAATATTTTAAGATTTTTCTATTTTTAGTTATAGCAGCCCCTGAAAGGGGCCAATCAATCAAATTTTAGCAAACTTGATAAAAGGCTACCTAAGAATGCTACAGACAAAGTTTGGTGATCATCCACCCATTAGTTCAGTAGAAGATGATTAAAGTTTTATTTCTGTTTTTAGCTTTAGCGGACCCTAAAAGGGTCCAATCAAATTAATATGAGCAAATTGGATAAAAGCCTACCTAAGAATGCTACAGATAAAGTTTGGTGATCATCCATCATTTAATTTAGTGGTGTTTTTTAGCTCTGTTGACCCCTAAAAGGGGCCAATTGAAATGACATGAGCAAATTTAAATGTGACTGTCACAAGGATGCTACAGACCAAATTTGAGGTAAATCTGCCCAGCAGTTTCAGAGAAGATAATTGTTGACGCATGAAGACGTACGATGGACCATCCCCCTTTGATACTCATACCTTGAACCTTTCGATTCTGGTGGGCTAAAAAGCACACTGCCATCACAAAAGTTTGCCTCTGACAACTTTGTCTTTTTGAAAATTTGTATAAAACTGTAAATGATTAAAAGTTAGTGACACAGATCAGCATAATCCATAATTATGTAAAAATTTAGTCAATTTACCTTTACTATAAGCTGAGAATCTGCTTCTTTTTTATCCACTTCTTTAACATTTACATTTTCTGCATATCCATAAGGCCTAGCTAGAGTTGTCTGTGATGGTAGAGCTAATTGTTTATCTCCTTTTGATCTGAAATACAAAAACAACTCTGAAGTCAAAATTAATGTCATCAAGGGGGAGAATCACACCATTCGTTACCCAAACAAACAAGATAGTGGATGCAGCCGAAAAGTAAGTTTTTCCTTTTCTTCTCTGAAATTCGCGATGTTCTTGTGTAAAGGTACATATAGCAGCCTTTTCCACAATTTTCCGGGCACAGGATTTTATTTCATGATGTTTTGTCCCGTTCTTCTTTTGAAATGTGGGTCACTAGAATCGAAGCGAGAGAATTTTCCACTGGTTTGATCATGATAACGTACGGCTTCTTCTCTTAAATTCACTGTTTCTTTTACATGTATGTATATTAACTGAAACCACTGACTTTAAAAAATTGATGTCGTCATCTAAGCATTCATGCCGTTTTTGGCTTGATTTACCGCGTAAATATTAATATCGGGTCATTTTCCGGAAATGATAACATACGGCCCATTTTTCTCATTGGTGGATTTCCATTTGTCCACTCACCTGATAATAAATTATTTGTGCCTATAGAAATGACAGAATCACCAAGTAGTTTTAAAACTAGTCATGTGACTAGCATGACAAACACACTGGCAATAACAAAAGTTATCATAAGAACTCTGTGAGATCTTCATTTGAAAAATCGGGTATAAATCTGTTAGCCAGTGCTTTATGTTTGCAAGTTTGTATAATAATTAGGTAATTATGTATGGCAAGGATGAGGACCTGAAATAAACAGGTCAATACTTGTGAATTGGCAAATAATTTGGAAATTTTACTCAAAACTACCAGATCTTAAATAGGAGGTGATGAAAAATGGCCTATGAATTAGTTTTTGACACATAATGACAAGCTTAATCATTAAAGTTTAATTTAGCACCTAAAACTTATTTTTGAAAGTTGAAAATAACCATTTTTGATGAGTGTTTTTGTAATTTATACAAATGTTTTTCGACGAAATCCGTGACAGTTATCACAAGAACTCCTGAACAAGTTATCATAAGAAAGTGCTGTGGGCAACGTCCCAGGGGACGATGACCGGATTATATATATATAGCGGCGATATAAAATATTCGATCATTTCTTTTGCCTTGTAAAGGAAAGCTTTCCTGGGAAGAGGGTTTTCTTGGGGGGTTCTTTTATTTTATAAAATGGGGCTTGGTTTGTTTTGGGGGGAAGTGTCTTCCTGACTTTTTCACAAATTTTCTGTGTTTTAAAGTATTTTTATAACTTGAAAGTGCTGTGGGCAACGTCCCCGGGGACGATGACCGGATGATATATACACAGCCACGATATAAAATATTTGTCCTTTTCTTTTTGCCTCGTAAAAGGAAGTTTTCCCGGGAAGAGGGTTTTCTTTTATTTTATAAAATGGGGCTTGGTTTGTTTTGGGGAATGCATCTTAATGACTTTTTCAAACAAATATATGTTTTTATAGTAATTTTCATTACTTGAAAGTGCTGTGGGCAACGTCCCCAGGGACGAAGACCGGATTATATATATATATATACAGCCGCGATATGAAATATTCAATCATTTCTTTTGCCTTGCATCATGTAATCCTTACGGAATGAACTGAATTTAAATTATCATTTTGCATTCATTCTGTGAAATATCAAATATACACGCAAATTAATCATAAATTTTTTGTAATATTTACGGAATGAACTAAATTGGGAACTTATTGTTTTGCATTAATTCCGTTAAATTTAATATATTGATCTTAAATTTATTAACAATCTGATGTGATCTTTTTGGAATGAACTAAATTTGTAGTATCATTTTGCATTCATTCCGTAAAACTAAATATTGAATAAAAATTTATTAACAATCTATGACGATCTTTACGGAATGAACTGAATTTTTAGTATGATTTTGCATTCATTCCTTAAAATTTAATATATTAAACTTAGATTTATTTGCACACGGATATGATATTTACGGAATGAACCAAATTTGAATTATCATTTTCCAGTCCATAAAATATTATAAATGGAACCTTATTGATTAACCATTTGATGTGTTCTTTACTTGGGGATGTATCGATTTGGATGTATCGATTTGCATTCATTCCGTAAAACTCTATATATGAACTCAAATTTATTAACAATCTGATGTGATCTTTACGGAATGAACTAAATTTGAAGTATCATTTTGCATTCATTCCTTAAAATTAAATATATTGAACTTAAATTTATTTGCACACGGATGTGATATTTACAGAATGAATCAAATTTGAATTATGGTTTTCCAGTCCATAAAATATTAGAAATGGAACCTTTTTGATCAACCATTTGATGTGTTCTTTACTTGGGGACGTATCGTTTTGATTCATTCCGTAAAACTTTATATATGTAGCCAATTTTATTAATAATCTGATGTGTTCTTTACGGAATGAACTAAATTGGAATAATCGTTTTTCATTCATTCCGTAAAATATCACAAATGGAAGGAAATAACATACAATATGATATGCTCAAAACGGAATAAACTGAATATGAATTATCGCTTTCCATTCATTCCGTAAAAATTTGTAGATGGAAATAAAATCATTTACAGTTAGATAATTATGTTCTTTATGGAATGTCACGATGGACTGAATTTGAATTATTCCTTAAAATACATGTTATTTCACATTAAGCCTAAGAAGGCGACTTGGCAAGTACGATTTACAGAGATAATGCGCGCGCATCATGAGTAATAATTTGTTTCTTAAATTAATTCAAGCATTTACATGATACTTATTACATCTAATGTAAGTCACGCCAAATATAGTAACTTAAAAAAAATTGTCCCCTGGGGGACGATGACCGGATTATGCCGACCTCTTTACTGGGCAGCTGCATGCTTTTTACCAGTTCTAGAGTGGTTGAACCAATGCTCGGCGCATACCAATGCTCGGCGTAAAATTTTTTTTTTAGAATATCTGAAAATGTCTTGAGTTATCTCCGATTAAGGTCACTGGTGCTTTTATTTACATCTTTCACCATTTTATCCTGGTGTGGTTCACTGCTGGTAAAGTCATGTGACAATGCTAATAGCAGACGAACAACCGTATACATGTAATCCCCAACATATAAATTATTAAAATCTTTTAACACTAGAGTTCTGGGGCTGTAAAATTTAAACTAAAAGTTGGGTACTTGTAAATGTATGAACCTAATTTGGTTGTTACAATTTATTCAATATGTTTTCTTCATAGGATAAAAAAGAGATTTTATTCGAAAAACAATCCTGCATCATGTAGTATTGTACGCCGAGCTATGGTACAATTTCACGCAAACCACTCTTGTTTATCCGGACTATCTTTAGCTCCAGCCATGCACATCAATATGTGATTAGCAAATTTTACACAATGGCTATTTAAAACAATATCATCGGTCTTGAAAATGGACATATAACATTGAGGTTTGTTGACGTTGATTTGAATTTGCCATATCAAATATAGTATTATTACGCCAAGCGTTGGTCCACCCCCTTATGCCAGCTTTGATTTTAACTTTTATCTCAGTCTTGTAGTTCTTTTTAACTTGCTTTTACCTTGTCTCTATAAATTTGCACTTAACATATTTGTTTCCACACGCCTGCTTAATGTAATCGATTACGATTTTTAAGCAGTATGATGTAGATGTAGATAGATGTCAGTGTTCGAAATTAGCAATAGTCCGATAGCCCCTGACTACTAAATTTCTCCTCGGGCTACCAACTTTTTACAGTAACAAGCCCGACCAGACTACTGTATTTTCAGAGGCAATATAAACAACTGTTTTGAACAAATGAATCGTGCTAGTGAAATTTCTTTTGGGCTAGTGAATATTCCAATCTGGTAGACTGACCGGCCTAGTGGATTCAAATCCGAATTTCTTACACTGAGATGTACATTCCCGGTAGATAGTACAACCAGGAGGGTTTAAGTGAGATTTTTGACGAAAGTGAGCGAGTGACTTTTAAAATTTGAATTGTGCCATTTTAATAGAATGAATTTTACATTAAAATTGCTGTTTGTTGACATATATTATTAGCCACTTATAATATATATTATAATAAATAACCATAATCATGATTTAATCGCCATTAATTGCCCTTATTTCTATATACAAGTTCAGCGATCTTCCTTTCAATGCATGGAAAAATACGAAAGTGACTTGTAAAGTATTAAATATTGAGTTACGATTAAATCCTCATAATGATTACTTTAAAAAAAAAAAATTATATATTTCTGATAATATACGCCTACAAACTGCAAATTTTAGTATAAATTTCAATTTAAACTCTATATTTAATATTTTACAAGTCACTTTCGTATTTATCAAAGTGAGCGAAAGAAAGATCACAGAACTTGTGAATAGAAATTAGGCCTATCAATGGCGATTTAAGGTGAATCACCTTAATCATCATTCACGAATACGAAAACCTAGCTAAACGCCGTTTTCCAGTACTTTCTGTACATAGCTCTGGGGAATTCACCTAATGGAGTGTAATAGCGATCTCGATGTTTTCGGTCTTTTTTAAATTAAATTGAAATAAAACAGGTATTTCTTTATAACAAATTAATTAAATATCATTATATGAATAATTCCATACAAAAAATAAAGTAAATACACAAGTTTATGCAGAAAATAACCTTATTTATTATGGAAGATTCCACTACGTCTGTTTAAATTTTATTGATTTTCATCATAAACAATTTATTTTTTTGAAAAATTTGCAATGGATATTAAAGGAATATTGATTATTTTCAAAAACATCATTTTTTTCCACCTTAAACGGTAAAATAATGATAGAATTAGAAAAATAGAAATATCATGTAACTGCGTTATGTATTTCATTTGGTGTAATTCCCCAGAGCTAAATCCGTAACGTACCGGAAAACGGTGTTTAGCTAGGTTCTAGTTCTACACCATACTGCTTTAAAATCGTTTACGATCACTCTAAGCAGGTATACATTGTAAACATTTTTTTTTAAGAGACAGTTATGAGATACAAGGGAATCCGGGAACCAGCCCCTAGCTCTTATTGAATAGACCCCTTGGTTCTTTTACATGCCCAGTGTAGATATATAGCACTGATAGTGATACATGCGAGGATTACTGGATTTCTTACCAGTACACCTCTAGTTAGGTGGGAAACACTGAAAGTGTCTCTGAAAAATCCCAAGGTTATAACCCAGGATCGAACCCGGGACCTCAGGAGTGATAATCAGTGGTCTAACCAACTGAGCTATCGCGCCACCGAAAAGGTCAATAGTGTAGAGCTGTCATCGATATCGACAATATCGATGTATCGTTGATATTTTTTTGCCGATCAATAATCGATACACATTTTAAAAAATCGATACTTTTGATTTAAATTTTATAAATTAAATGTCTAGAAATTATAAAATTCAGCAAAAATATATACAGAAGCAGTTATTTATATGTAATGTTATGCTTTTGTTTTAAAGTGGAATTATTTCATAGCAATGGTGACAAAAAATATTGTCTGGAAAAAATCATGCAGTGGACAAGACACTGTACAGAACATGTTTTTGACTGAAATCATTGAAAGATGTATGAAAGTGAATGACATACAAGTGAGTATAGGATATTATTGATATATCGGTGTGTCGTTGATTTTAGTCACTTGATATCGATATATCGTTGATATACTTTGCACTGAATCAATGACAGCTCTACAATAGTAATTATTTTTTATAAGAAATGTTATTAAGTTTCTAATAATAAACGTCTACAAACAGAAAATTCACTGTAAATGTCTATAAAAACGGTGCAATTTAAATTTTAAAAGTCACTTTCGGTCACTTTCGTCAAAAATCTCAATAATTTATACCGCAACCAGGATAGATCCGAAACGCATGATAGTTGTTACCAAAATTATTTTCAAATATGTACGCGAAAAGGTTTAAAAATTTCTGACTTTGATCTCGTGATTTCATGTTTTAGTTATCTGTTGGAAATTATTATGTAGAATCGTTTAATAACCTATTCGCTCCTGTAAAATCTATTGTCCATTTATGAAATTTCCTGCTTCTTGACGCCATGTTGGGTTGAGTATAATGCACCACAAATACAGGCTGAACACCACAAAAGAATGACCCCAAACCGTTTCCTCCCCTGACGGTTCTCTCCCATATTTGAAATATACAGACAGTTTTCCCCCATTTTTTTTTAATGCAGACAATTATGCCCCATTATTTTTTTTATAAGTTATCATTTTATTTTTTACTTAAAGCAGTATGTCTCCAGAATCATGCAAATTTTCATGACAATTTTTAAAATGTATTTTTAAAAAAAGTAAAATACAGTAGTGTGAAGTGAACAAAAAAATACACATTGTATCCCGAAACAACCAATTTTCAATCACAACCTAAATTCAAACACATTCTTAATTCTGTGGCGCTGATGTCATGTCTGACTAAAGTACATAAAGTCACTTGTTGTATAAACTTAAACACTTGCAGGAATGCCATACTTGATTAATTGTCAGATGTTATCATAAAAACAATAAGAAATTGTTTATTTTAAGTGACACAATATAAATTGCCCAACTTTAACTATCTCAAAATAGTCATTTGTTTAAAATAGTGGTAAAAATTGTTCCAAGCAAGTTAATTTTTTTTATAAAGTATTGGCTACAGAGTTTTACCATTTACCTCAGTCTTCGGTGTATTTAAAACATTTATTTATATGATGTAACGTTACCACTTATTGATAAAATCTTAAATTGTAATCAAGTTTTTTTCAGGTTAATCTTTGTAAGCGATACCATTTGGCAGATCTAGACAAGTTTCCATATTTGGTATAATATTATAAAGTGGGGAAGGTACAATGGCTGTAATAATTGGATGCATTTATCATTTTGCACCCCAAATAAAATAGCGTACTGAGAAGTGACACATTAAACTGCCCTTTTTATACACATTAACAGTAGTCATACCATACATTGTACATACTGTACATATGTTAATTATAACATTAAGTGTAAGTTTTTTAAAATCCTGTAAAAACTGTTGAAAATCATTGAATAGACTGTTGTGAAATTTTCTACAATTTTTAGTAGCCCTGATTTATCTTGAACAAATTCTTTAGTGGTGATTACCCTGCTGTTTGAATTTAGGTTAAAATATTCTTGGGAGTGACCTGAGTGGGTCATATCGTTTTTATTGTTTTTCTAAGAAAGATTAAGACATATTGAAAATGAATAAATGTTGATAGATGCATTGATATCTAATATGAATTTAAAGCATAATTCCCCCATCCATTTATTATTGGCTAAAAACAACTTTACCGATTGAATATTGGTTATTCCGGGATACACGTCTTTATTGCCTCCGAATATTCGAAGATATACCCCGTCAAAATATGCATAAATACCTCTTACTGCGTTAGCAACGCAGTAGAATTGTAGTGATTGATACTGCAAAATCAGTCATTAATCACACATAACATGTAATTAATTTATTAAATATCAAATTTGTTTACTTTTTCTTAAGACCTTAATACGTTTTTTATTTAAAGATTGAATTTCTTGAAATATTTTGGTTCATCTGGAGGCAGCTTTAATCTAATATTTTTTAATGTAGATTATTGAAACAATTTGTTTAATTAAGTGCATTTTATGTTTTATGTTTGTCACAAGGTGAGAAAAAAGTGCAGCCTGACCGGGACTCGATTCCGGGACCCTCGTAATACCGTATCGCGGCTCTACCGATTGATCTTTCCGGCCGCTTACACATCATCTCCCCTAATAGTGAACAGTTCTGAACCGTAACATACTCCCCTGCTATATTGAAATTCGTCCTCGAATTTCACAGAGTTGCAGAGCAATGTGAATTAATTCTGAGCTATATATAGTTACGGCCCTACGTTGGGCGCCAAATGTCACAGGGTGAGAACAATGTGCAGGCTGGCCGGGACTCGAACCCGAGACCCTCAAAATACCGTACCGCGGCTCTACCGCCTAAGCTTTCCGGCCGCTTCCAGATCACCACCCCTAATAATGAACAGTTCTGAACAGTGACATGTTTATCTTAAAAGTGTTTGTAAATTTAACACCTAGTTGCCAGGTATTTTAATCCTATCAACACCTTCATTGTGAGAGATTAAGATTATTGGACAGTGAATGATACACACCTGTTATTATGTAGAGATCTAGTGATATTCATTCATTTGTTAAATAGCGAATAAAATCCCCGACTTCCCTTCGCGGCGTGCACGTCGCTCGGAGGGCATAGGTCACCCCAGATGGGTGACCGAAGTATGTCACGTAGCTGGTAAGACGTTACCAACGGCGAAGGGCGTGGCCCTACAAACAGCTACGCATGGTCCCGAAAGAGGTGCGTTTCTTCCTATTGTCTACCGCGTTCAAGATGCGAAGATCTGGGTCCTAGAGAAGATCTCTACAACGAAAGACGGCATGAGAAGACCTCCGATCAGCGACGTTGAAGACGAACTAAGTCCTCCGTTGCAGGCTCTACGACCAGCGACGTAACAGAGGCCGATAGTCTGGGACATATGGCAAAGCCGGCGCCATGTATAAATAACACTAAAAAACACACAATAGCAATTAAGGTGGTAACAAGTATGTTCAAGTAAATAAATAAGCAACAAATGGTATGCAATCACATTTCACATTTACTTTTACACAAAATTGATAAAAGAACAGTCATTAACATAACACAATATTATAATACCAAATAACTAATAAAAATACTTATTCATCAACACCTTTGAAATGACAAATATTTAAAACTAATCAACACCTAGATTCCGGAGCAGAGCCAGATAAACTTTCTCCATCCACGGCACCAATCTATTATTCTATTTATCCTGTCACCGTTTTTTTAAAAGAATTTTATTAGGCAAACTACCTTTAACCACACTATCGGAAATGTTTTTAATTTAATAATAAGAAGGCCCGAAGCGTGCATTATTCTACAACAATGCACTCGCCGTTCTTATAGATATCATCTCCCTATGTATTTTCACATTGAGGGCGCCATTTTGTTTGAAAAATGTGATAAATAAAAACAATTTTTTGTCGAATTTTGTTGTGAAAACTATCTAGAATGAAAGAAAATGGTCTAACTAAGAAAATGAATTCGAACACCAATATCTTTTATTCAGTCGTTAACACTGTACAGACGTTTAAAGTATTGTTTACGTGACGTCACAATGTAGCGCCTTGAACAGCACGTGCAAAACAATCAAATCAAGTACGCTATTTTAATGTCTCAAACGAGTTAAGTTTTACATTTATTTCACTTTCAATAATTTTTATTTCGCTTGAAAAAATTATAGAGTGAAATAAAATAAATAAACAAAGTTTTATCAACGTTTCCAAAATTCGTTATTCTACACACAGAAGATTTAACGACAGTTATTTTCATACCACTGAAACGGCCTGTAAAGAACGTTTCTATTGGAAACTCTGAGGCGAAAACAAATTTAACCACCAAACATAAAGTTCAACAATATAATAATAATTATATTTTTTCTTGAAAAGTAGTCCGGCAAACAGGTGCCCATTCATGCATACCACGTGAGTGCCGTAGATCAGTAAAAATATACGGCACCTTGTAATCGGGCCGAAATTGACACAAGTGACAGGATAAAACGCCAATGACGTCACGTCAAAATATATGCACGGCCGTGCAATACCATATTTACGGAGTCGCAAAATCGGCACGGGTGAGTTATAAACAAAAGTATGAAATTTAGCAATTAAAATTCATTAATACTTTTTTCTTATAAATTTTATTCTTATTTATTAGAAGACAAAAACACAATAATTAATATTTATCACACACCCGTGCCGATTTTGCGAGTGAAGGATACCATACACACTGTAAAAATCATCAATTCTAAATGTAAAATAATCATTTCTTCAATCCTACCTAGAAGAAATGTCAACACCATCATCTCTGAAACCAACAACCGGTTCAGAGATCTGTGTGCAGATGGTGGTCACTGTATCAACCATGAATCTTACTTTACCCTGCATGGTACTCCAGACAAATCGCTGTATAAAGACTATTTACATCTAAATAGAAAAGTTTGAAAAATGTCTGGAACAAACATGAGGAATGATATAAACAAGAGCCGATTGAACCGGGTGATGCTCCCCGAATAGGTTTTGGACACAGGAAGGTATACCTCTTGTAGTGTCAGAGTTATGTCACAGACAAAGTTCAAAGTTTAAAAACAACCCAAATGTTGTGCACGACACATTGTCTCAATATGGTGATCATTTCTGTGAAATAGTTGTAAAATCAGACTTCAAATAAGGAAGTTATGGGCTAGACACGATTTTGCTGCAAGGTCATGCTGTGACATTGACCTTCAAGGTAGCACCCTGAATGTTGCATGTGACACATCTATTCAATATGGTGATAATCCCTGTGAAATAGTTGTTAAATCCGACTTCAAGGAACGAAGTTACTGGCCGAACGCGATTTTGCTGCTAGGTCATGCTGTGACCTTGACCTTCAAGATAGCAACCCAAATGTTGCGCGCGACACATCATCTCAATATTGTGATCATTTCTGTAAAATATTTTTAAAATCTGACTTCAAATAACAAAGTTATTGGCCGGACAAGATTTTGCTGCTAGGTCATGCTGTGACCTTGACCTTCAAAGTAGCGACCCAAATGTCGGGCGCGACACGTCGTCTCAATATGGTGATCATTTCTGTGAAATAGTTTTAAAATCCGACTTCAAATAAAGAAGTTATGGACCGGACACGATTTTGATGCTAGGTCATGCTGTGACCTTGACCTTCAAGGTAGCGACCCAAATGTTGCGCGCGACACGTCGTCTCAAAATGGTGATCATTTCTGTGAAATAGTTTTAAAATCCGACTTCAAATAAAGAAGTTATGGACTGGACACGATTTTGATGCAAGGTCATGCTGTGACCTTGACCTTCAAGGTAGCAACCCAAATATTGCGCGCGACACGTCATCTCAATATGGTGATCATTTCTGTGAAATAGTTTTAAAATCCTACTTCAAATAAAGAAGTTATGGACCGGACACGATTTTGATGCAAGGTCATGCTGTGACCTTGACCTTCAAGGTAGCGACCAAAATGTTGCGCGCGACACATCATCTCAATATGGTGATCATTTCTGTGAAATAGTTTTAA